AGGGAGGGAGGGAGGGAGGGAGGGAGGGAGGGAATGAAAAACCTTACCTCGCCTCTATTGGATTCAAAGTTCTGCCTCATCAACAGATACAGAGATGCACTGGCCTGAGATCGAATCGTGCCAATAGACGAGCTACAGTGATTCAACAGTCGAGAGCAGAGATCTGCGCATAATTCTGTATCTTCTTCAAACAAAAGCTCTGGGGACTGAAAACAATGTTAAAACAATTAAGTTTAGTTAATTAATAGTTACCTCTTCATTTTTGTTCATTTTTAAGAATATTAATATTTTTTTTATTTGCGGGCTGGGTCGAATTGGTATGGGACCAAAACTAAATGACAGGAATCTTCCCTCCCCCTGTGAATATAGCCCCCTGTAAATATAGCCCCCTGTAAATATAGCCCCCTGTAAATATAGCCCCCTGTGAATATAGCCCCCTTTATCTAAAGTCGACTACAGCCACGCCTCATGTTTCTAAGCTTGCTTCTCTCGTGCTCTACAGCTCTCAGCGTCTTTATATCACAGTAAAGAGACATGCGCGCATTTTATGTTGATAAATTAATCAATTACCTTTGCTACCAGAGAGCGTTGGGTGTTGAAGATGTTCTGTAGGGCCTCTACACTTTGGTTGCTGTTCAAGCAATGAAGCAAAACACGTAGGACTCCACTTAGAATAACACGAAGGGAGTCTGACGAGAACACCGTCTGTAGAGAGAGCATGATTAAGAATTAATATTACAGAATACCCTTAAAACTAAATAATGATAGAATCACCACGAAAATCATGGTTCCGACTTCATGGTTCGTAAAATTAAAATGTTACTCTCCTGTGGAAAAATTCTCTGTAAAATTTTAAAAATGTCTTGTAATCCTCGTAGTACTCTTTAAACCAGATGTTGTGTAGTTATTTAAGGATACAGGATTTTATTTCACTAGGAAAACTGCTGCAATGATGATTGATTCGCTAGAATATCTCGTAACATAAGAATATGCCCGTTCATAAAATTTAAATGTTACTCTCAAGTGGAACAAAAATTTTAAAAATAAAAATAAAATTTTGTAATCCTCGTAGTACTACTCTTTAAAACAGATACTGTGTAGTTATTTGTAAGACAGGATTTTATTTTACTAGGAAAAGTATTGCAATGATGATTGATTCGATATTGTATGAGTCGGAACCATTAATATAAGTTACAAAGTCATGCATACCTGTACAATCAGCTCTAAAGTGTCCAAAACAATGATGTTGACTTCTGCGCATAACGCGCCTTCGATCTGCGCTGCGACAGCAACCTCAGGACAGGCTCTATTAAAGCAATACACACGGTTAGAATACATCGATGCACAACAAAATAAAAGACTAATCGGCATTACTTTAGTTCTGCGTTGACCGAAGCTTATTCAATCGAACCCGTCAATGAGGTGCGCAAAGGCGCAACGTGTTTTCGTTTGCTTCAAGATTGGTCTTGTCTATACACCAATCTTTTCTTACGGACTTTAGTTGAAATAAAACCTTGGAGATCAACGCATCAATGTCTACGCTTGCGTCAGTTTACAGCAATTCTCAATTACACGCGCCCTCTAGGATTGTTTCTGTCGCGACGAAGAAGGTTTTGGTGGACGTCAATCACAAGGCGTTTCCATAACAATGTCGGAAAATACAAAGCTATAAGGGCACGTGCCTATAGATTGTCATGGAAACGCCTTGATTGACGTCCATTAAAAGCTTCTTCGTCGCGACAGAAACAATCGCTAGAGCAGCGCATGTGATTGAGAATGACTGTAAAGATTACTCTCAATGTAACTTATTTGATTATTTTCCCAGAGACTTTCACTTATCAAATCTAAACATAATAATATTACTAATGAAATCGTTTGCGCGCTCAAAAAAGTAGCTGTAGTTGTAAAGTAACAGTACAAGCTTGACGCAGTTGTTTAGTGTGTTACATACTTATCTTGAATATCGATTGCTTTTCTCCACTGTGTCTTGTCTTTACGCCATCGTAGTTTAGGCTCAGAACCTGGTGACACGCATGATTCAAATTACGATATCTATGATTGAAATGTTGGTCTTTCTAGCTTTTAAGTTGTGACTTATAGATGAGTAACGCGTAATGGAGTAAAACCTATTTGACTCAAGCAGGGGCGTATCTAGGATTTTAAGTAGAAGGAGGGGGGAGGGGGGGGGGGGCACAAACTCAAGACGATGCACCTTTTGCTATGCTAACTAGCTTGCGTAGCAGCCCTTAATCGTGGAGTATTGAGGGCCGATACGCAGGCTATATACTAACCAACTAATTCCAAGCTGTAAAGGGGGGTTTCACGGACACCCTAGGACCTCCCCTAGAGACGCTCCTGCTCAAGATACTTTAAACAGAAGATTGCCCTCCCCAGCTATAGTCCTACCGCGTCTAGGACTTGTTTATGGGTATCTTTCCTATGCTTCTGCTGATCTTACACAGACAGCAGAGGTTGACAGCAGATGCCCTTGGCAACTCCCCCCCTCCCCTCCCCCTCCCCCACCTTTAACCCCCACCAGTGTACCTTGTGAAGTGTTCTGATTGCGAGAATGCCTTTGCATCATTTCATGTGCAGCTCCAGCCTGCCCACGTAGCATTTCTTCTAGTTTCCTCTTATCATCTATTGTCCTGCTTCGAGGTACGGTGGCGCTGCTCTTCTGTCGGGTCTCCTTCCTTCCGCTGTACTCGAATTGAGTAATGCACAGATGAAGAACGTCAAGCAGTAGACCAAGTCTGTAAATAAGACGGAGAATGATATTAGCAAAATCCGATGCATGGATCTCTTAGGGCCAGATCCTTAAGGTCGTCCGTTTACGCGGGCGAATTTTGCAGTGCTTTCAGGTGCAATATATGTTTGCAGCGATTTTTGAAAATACGATAAATTCTGCCTTATGCGACTAATGAAACGTTTGTACAGGCAACCATTTTACAAGTTAATCCTTTACCAAACGTAGTGCATCCTAGTCTAGCTTGGGTACAAATATCGTTTGTACCTATCATTGTACTATTGTACCAATGCCAGAATAGAATGCATCTCGTTTTTTCAAACTCAGAAAAGACCTAAGGCATGACGCCGGTGCTATTATACAATACGATACAATAAACGTTTTTTCCGCTCGAATTTAAGATAGCAAATATATGCTAATATCTCCGAGATGCGTGATGCGTTATTCGTGATGCGTTACAAGAATAAAAGATTGCGTTACGAAAATAAAAAAATGCGTTACAAAAATAAAAGATTGCGTTACAAGAATAAAAGATTTGCTATACAAAACGCGGGGCAATGGTTTGACCGTTTCTTTAGTTACAAAAGCAAACCAGCTCGTACACTTGATTTGGATATAACCCTTGTAGGATTTTTAAGGATAATTCTAGAACACAAATCAGATTCTCCCAAGAGGATTTTACCTATAATTCTATAAAGATCAGCAGCTATAGGTAATACTTTTTAGGGTACTTACCGCGGTGGTTCCTGATCTGACCACCAAAGCATGAGCGTACCTGGGTCCATGTTTTTCAAAACCCACAGGAATCCCATAAGAAGACTTCGAGTAGCTTCTTGTGTAAGCTGTTGTGGTTTAGACAGCTGAAAATATACAGAAAGCTTTAGAAGACAGATGGTTAATGGAAACGCGCGCTTAGAGGTGCATGCATGGTACGACATGCCATAACACTGAAATGGCTTCCAATTTTCTTCCAGTAATTCATTCAATCACAACGCGTAGTTATGGTTACAGTAAGATACAGTACGGTTACGGAGGGTTCTAACTTTCTGCAAGCGGGTTCCCTGTGGTTCAATGCGGTAATCGCTCATATGTGGAGTAGTTCGCAGCACGAACGCAGTCGTACATGGCAAAGCATACGCCAGACCAATCACACCAATTTAATCTCCATCCAATCAAATACCCGGAACAGGGCATGAGCACGGCGCGGACACGGTCACGGCACTGCCATAGCAATCGCATTGCGCAAGAAAAAAAAAGAGCCAATCAAAATTCTAGATAACATCACGGTAATGGCAAGGCACGAATACGGCGCCGAGCTTTTCACAGTCGTATGAAGAGTGCTGTAAAGAATACTAAAGAGTGGGCAAGGCATCATCGCATCTTCTCAATCTCTAACTCAGCTATTGTTTAATCAGGATCATACAAACCTGTGAGGCAAGTTCAGGTCGTGTATCGTATCGTGTCGATATACTAGAAGTGGATATTGCCATTGCAACTTCGGGGCTGAGGCCTTCAGGTTCGTCGGCTCGGTACCCATGAAGCTGTGGAAGGGCATCGATAACTATCCCCAGCAGAGGAAGGTAGAGGTCTGCCACGCGACTACGACACACAGGGTTGTCATAACGGGTGTCTGTGTCGTGACAGGAGAGCAGGTCTTTAATGCAGTCAATCGCTTGACACTGGAGACCATAGTCACTGGTAGGATTGAAAATAGTTAGATTAAGTATGGTACAGCATGTAATGACTGGTGTAGGGAGACAAACTAGCTGTACTTCAGAGGTACCAATTAAGTGCGGAGGAATAAGATGGGTAGAGCATGCATCTAAAAATACCAAGGTACTAACGAAAGTTAAGTTAATCAACTTTCTTAAGCCTTAAGACATATTCGAAACCTTAACCTTGTCCTTGTACCGTTTGGATAACTGAAAACGTTTCATCACACGACTGTGAAAGGGTACTAGTAAATCCAATGCAGTGGCAGGATGGTCTTAAAAATATTCATTGGATGAGAAAGAACCTTGCGTGGTCAATTTCGTACCGTCACCGTGCCGTGAGGTTTTACCTTTGTACACAACCCCACCCTTAGACCTATTACAGCTATTATTATAAGATGATCTATATTGAATTTCTACAATAGATACCTTCCATCGAGCGCCAAGGCAAGCTCTGCCAACAGAAGACCAACAAGGTAATGCTGTCTCCTGAAAGCCAAAGATAACTCAGCCATACTGTTTGCAGGAGTAAGGGTATCACCCGAAGCAGAGCTGAGAGAGGATAACGATGTTGTTGGAGATGAAGACTCTGAAGGATACAACTTGGTTGGGAAGGGTAGGTTGAGGGTGACGTAATGTTCGTGACTGCAGACGATGCGCAGTAGTTCGAGGCGAAGTTGCGCGAGGCTTGGATAAAATCCACTTTGATATATCATCTGTTATAAGGAAAGTATACAAATACATGTACTTAAGTTACAATGTAAAAGAAATAATACAGCCGCATGAGTTGCTGCGCAATAGAAGTTCAAAATGAGCTTCAAATTYGTTGTGCAATGACAATATTCTTGGAGTGCAAACACGTGACCAAAAAATCCCTTGAGATATAAATAACAATGAAACAGCCGCCCTCTTGGTTGATCTAGCAAGAGAAGTTTAATGAAGAATGCTTTGTATAGTCAGCCAACATGGCGGCTATATGACGTAACATGCAAGAATAATAGTGAGAGGTATACAAGCGATAAAATAGCATACCTCTTTACAGTAATTCTTAATCAGATAGAAGACAACGCCACGGTCCACCAAAGATAGGAGGTCGTACAGGAAGAAGCCAAGACTGGAGTTCAAATCTTGAACTAAGTTGAAGTCCTTGTTTTTGCTCACAATCTCAGATATGGTGGTAGCGACAAGAGCTCGTACATCGTCAAGAAACTGATCAGGGAATCTAGTCTTGCGACTCACGAAGAAACGATCGGTTTTGTCGAGATGTTGTGCCATGCTTTTCACCTAGGGGTAGCGATGGAATACGATGGATTTTTGAAATCATTTTGATTTTGTACTTACTTTATAGTATTTTTAACAAGGGCAATTATCAATGTTGTTTTTGTTGTTGTTGCTGTTATTCATATTGCTTATGTGTTTGTTGTTGTTAATGATATAGATAATGCTCGTTTCTCAACTTTTGTATGGGAAAAATTGGACTCGTGGATCTTGGATCGCAAAAAAAATAATCCGTCGAATTTTCTGCTTTTGAATGGGTATAGATAATCTTAATGCATAACAAAAACATGTCCAACCTCTAAAACTTGATTTATGCTTCTAGATTTTGAATTTTGAGAGATTTTTTTATTTTGGAAAATCCGGAACCGTGCATGGGTGGAATGGACTGGACTTCGGTTAATTGGATTGTGCGGATCGCAGACACGTTTTTACGCCGAATCTGCAGCTTTTGTCCCATAATTTTTATTTCAATATTCACAACTAGTAATTGCATGCTGAAATTTAACAAAAATTTAAGATTTAAAATTTGTACGATCTGTCTCACCATGAGCTCGAAGAAGAACCAAGCATGTTTCATCGCCTTATCTCGTACTGGACCACTCGCAACAGCCCACTGCAAGGCCAGTTCCTCGTGAACGGACTGATTAAAAGAAAACAATAAAAAAGCTGAGACCAATGACACTTATGTATTCACTTTTTCCCTGGACTTGTGGTTACCTTTTTGTTACTACCGGTGGAGAGTCCAGGTATATTGATCGCTCCAATGCGCGTCTCCGCCATGCTATTCCTATTACCAGCCGTGTTGGATATCTCTGAGCCCTCCTTAGTCTTCTCACTGTCCCATCCAGAGCCTTTTGTGGTTTGTCCATCTGATTGGCTGCTGGCATTCAGTTGAGGATTACTGCTACTTAGGTTGGACTTGGATTGCATTGGAGCTGTTAGAGTAGAACCAATGGCCATGCTGACTGGACGGTTGCTTTCACTTCCTGGCATGAATAACGTTCAAACATTAAATTGCAATAGACTTTTACCTTGGTCTTAATGTTTTCCCATTACAGACCTCATGTCATTCTGTTGAGAATAAGATTCGTTGTTTGAGTTGTATCCATATTCGTGTGTCTTCTCATGCGCAACCGTTAACGTTAAATAAAGAATGGTACACTGTCATACATGTACCGCGTACATAAGTCCTACTCATACGATAACCATTCTTATGGAAAAACAATTTCAATGTTAGCACATGTCGAACCGTCAACAAGCTGTAAGGGACTGGTCATTTTTTCTATGGAAGGGGGGGGGGGGGCTGGTGTAAAAAGGTGGTGGGTCAACAATTATTATGCAGGGAGAAAAGGGGGGGGAGTCATATGAATTAATGCAATTCTGAATTTCAAACATTTACCTGAACAAATAGGACTGGAAGAAGGAGATGGTGTGTAAGGAGCAGAGAAGTGATACGTAACATACGATGCCAGTATGTGGTTCCTGTTATGCTCATCTTGGCTGTTCTCTAGTAACTTGTGTAATTGAAAAACAATCTGGGCCAGAGATTCGAATGCTGCCTGACCAATATTAACTGAAACGAAGAAAAATTAGTGTAGGAATATTAAAAGTGAGGAAAAAATATTCTGAAAAAAATAAAATAAAATAAAATAAAATAAAATAAAATAAAATAAA